TATTATATTTACTTATACATCTTTTCTAAAGAATCATCTATCGATCTTTTAAAATCCATTATTTAATCTAAAATATTCTTATAATAGTTTAGTCTTGCTTGATTCTCTTTAATCTTCATTTCTTATTATTAAGTCTTTAATTATTATATTCTTTCTTTTGATTACTCTATTGTTGTCACTTTTATATTATTTAATTTATCAACTAAACAATTACCACAAAAAAACTTAATCTATGATTTATCTGTCATCTCCAAATCAACTGCAATAAATTCCAAATTGTGAATTTTACATGTTGTCTCCTAAAACTCTTAACTTACCTTTTATTATTATAATTTATTCATATTTTTTATTATATTAATAGAAATATCAATTTATTTTAATTATATTCATCTAAATTACACATTCTTTATATATTACTATAAAAATCTATTTATGTACATCATATGAATTGAAGAATTTGATCCATCTATAAGCATGCTGATGTAGCAAATCTAGTTTCTGATGAAATAAGTAGATTTTAATTACTTTCAATACAAAAGCAATCTCTAAATATTTACTTCTTTAAATTTTCTAATTCATTATTTTATTACTCTTTATCACATCTAAGTCTATAATTGGAAGGTTTTCATAAAAATTAAAAATTGCAATTCTATTTGTAAATAAATTGATCTTCTCAACTATAAAATACTCTTTAATCCGAAAAATATTATATCATAACAAAATTCATATATTAAATAAATTTTCATTAACGTATAGTATTAAATCCAACCCAATCTATTTTCAGTTAGTCTGGTCTATAATAAAGAATTTGATTTCAATAATACTATTATCTAAAAATTATTCATTAAAATATCTTTCTAATATTTATTAAAGGAATAATTAAAAAAATGAAAAATGTTGTCATTATTTTCAATTTTCAATTAGCATTTTTCAATTTTCTTTTCTCTTGACCAAAATATAATAATTAGACATTAATATTATTGGGAAAAAATGTAGATATGAAACTCATGAAAATGAAGAATTAATGGGATTTTGTTTGAATCAGAATTATTAAAATGCAACTCAATATTGTTATGAATGTTTATAAACAAATCATTCAAAACATTTCATGATTGTATTAGATTCACTAAAATAATCTAATTTTTCAATGAATTCATGCAAGTGTACAATCAATAAAGGAAATAACTTCAAGAAGTCTCGAAATAACTTTAAAAATATTTTGAATAGATTTTAAAGAAAATGGATCAGGATGTTAAAATATTGGAAGAAATAATTGAATAACTAAAATAAAAAGACTATTTGAATTTTAAATCATAATTCTCAAATTCTATACACTTTATATTACTGTTAAATCTTCGTAAAAATGTAATTCTAATTTGGTCTTAATACTTTGTCTGTTAAGAATATATAGAATTAATAATTAAAAAAAAGTGATTTTTTTTAAAGTCAAACATTTTATTGATTTTTCTTTAATTTCAGGATAAGCCTAAACAATCAAAAGAGTTAGTTATTTGCAACAGTATTGGATTAATTGTCATGACTTTATAATAGGAAACAGAGTTTCTATTTTTGATTTGCAAATCAAACAAATCGCGATTATTAATGTAATAATTAGGTATCAAACTAACGGAAAAAGAGAATCAAATATCAAAAGAATATAAGAGTGAACATTCACTGAACAAATCTGTTATCTCTGTTAGGATTAGGTTACTAAAAAAGTCGAGCAGGTTGATTGACATTTATGGGATCTTACATGAGGAGATAATTCAATAACATAGTTAAGGGAATGAGAATTTTAATATCGGCAATGACTAAAATTGCGATGTAAAATATCAATATGAACTGAATAGTTAAACTAAATTTCATATAATGCCGATTTGATCAGCGAGTGATTATTCAATTCATTTTAATAAGATGATTAATCTACTTGTATTTGAAATAACCTGAAATCAGGTTAAATGAAATGCTAATCATTTGCTAAATGAAAAATAATCTTTATTAAGATCTATTGCACAATACACTTCTTGTTGTTTGATTGATTTTTGGAGTAACTTGTATTAGAATTAGTTTAATATTAATTAAGAAGCCCTGTTTTCCATCTCTTTACTTTCTGTGGATCCGTTTATCCTTTCTCTTTTTCCAATTCATATCTTCTGTTCCCTTCTTAACTATCCAAATATGCACCCAATAGAAAAAAAACATTGTTTATTTTAATTAAGGCACTCGTATTTCATGAGAAAGTAGATGCAAGAAGCTAAGTAATTAAAGGAATTCAACTAATTGAGATAAAGAGACTTTTTAACTGAAAGGAAGTCTCGAGCTATAAATTCATGACGATGAAGTCATAGGATTTGATGAGAATTCAAAAATCTTATTGATTATGGATATGTGGACTTTGGAGGAACTCCACAATGCATAAATAGATTAAGAGAATTATGGGGGCGAGGGGTTATCAATATTTGAATAGTGCCGAATCATGATTAAATCTAAAAATCATGTTGACCTAAGGAAGAGATTACAAGAATCAACATTGGAGGATTACCATGAGATTTATTACAAAGTGACAGCATTTGATAAGCTACATTTAACTGCTATATTAAGAAGAAAATCGATGTTACGGCAATTGGATATGTCTTTATTGAGGAATTTGAATAAATGTGTTAGGGATGAGAATGGTAGTCAAATATTTAGAGTTGAAGTATCTGGATAGGCTGAGGGATTCTTGAAAATTGTGATAATAATACTGGCATGTTGTTTCCAATTAGCATTTATGAAAAGAAGAAGGAAAAATAATAATAAAACAAATATAGGCAGAACTAAAACAATTAGATAAATTAATCCCATCTCTCCTTTAAAAAATAACATATTAAAAAATTAAGCTAATTTATTCATTTTTCAATTTATGTGTCCCATAACATAATCATTTTAATTTCGTAATAGTGTTAAGTGGTAACATGCACTCTATAGCACTAAATATATTTTCATGATTATTTTGCAATAACTCCATACATGATTAACTCTTATTAACAAAAAGTAAAGGTCAAAATAATAAATTAGATTAATTTTCAAAAAAGATAATTACTTTGTGGGGAAGAGTAATTTTACCTTATTTTTTAAGACTTACACTTCGGCTTTATTATATTTTAATAATATAGGATTAGGCTCTATCTGTGGTTTTCCAAATTTTTTAAATTATGTTAATAAAAGTATCGCATCATATTCATCAATAATTCTTATATCTTGATTTCAAAGGTTAATCTTCATTTCAGCGCAATTACAATAGGCTTAAAGAGATAGAATCACAGGAGCATATAATGGAATCATTTGACCTACATAAA